CCACCCTCTGCTGCAACGTGACCGACTGCTGCAGCCTCAGCCTCTGCCACAGCCCTGGCCCAGCTGATCCAGTGCAGCCCCCACCTGAAAGCCAGGAGTTTCTCAGAAGCCAGCGAAAGAACCTGTGGCAGAGCAAGAAGCAGGATGCAAGAGACAGACCTACACAGATGCAAAGGTCAGTGAAGACAAAAGAGGGGGAGGAGGTGCCAGAGCAGAGATTCCCATGGTAAAGACCACAGTGACACATGTTTGTCCCCGTGCAGCCCATGGAGAGCAGAGCTCACCTATAGCTGATGGAGGTTTAATGGTGGAGGAGACACTACCCTGTATCCTGTGGAGGACCCCACACTGGAAGAGGTGGCTGTCCCTGAAGGAGGCCGTGACTCCATGAAAGGAACCCACGCTGGAGCAGTTAGTGGAGAAGTGCAGCCTGTGGGAAGGACTCACATTGGAGTAGTGTGTGAAGGACCCTCCTGTGAGAGGGACCCCCCCACTGGAGCAGGGAAGACTGCAAGGAGCCCACCCCTGAGGAGGAAGGAGCAGAGACAACATGTGATGGACTGACTGCAACCCCCATTCCCTGTCCCCTATACCACCAGGGGATGGGGAGAAGGTAGCGAAATCAGGAACAAAGTCTTTGCACCAGGGAAGGAGGAAGGGGTGGGAGAGACACGCCTTTTTAAGACGTAGTTCTCTTTCTCATTATCTTGCTCTGTGTTTGACTCTTAACAAATGAAATTATTTTTTGTGTTTTCCAAGTCAAGTCCGTTTCTTGCCCATGACCGTAAGTGGTGAGCAAACCCTCCCTGTCCTCTCCTCAGCCCATAAGGTTTTGTACCTTTTGTTCTCCTGATTCTTCTCCCCATCCCACTGGAGGGGGAGGAGAGAGAGCGAGAGGCTGTGTGGTGCTGCTGGATGGCCTTAAACCATGACATGCATACAGACAGAATACCATCTGCCTAGCTGCATGCAATTTATCTGAGAGCTTCCACAGAGCTGCTTTGGCTTCTAGCACAAGGTCAGTTATCTGCTTGCCAAACAACACATGCATGGGAAGAGAGAATGGCTATTCACTAGGATCAGCAATTAAGATATCCTCCAGCTTGCAAGGCAAAAAGCATACTGTGACCTAACAGTTGCTCCTTGGATGTTGTTCCTCACAGCAACATCTGTACAACCATTCATCAAAATGAGGGACATCCTACTAAGTACAAAAAATAAAATCAGAGTAAGTTAGGTATTTTCTTAACACAATTTGTCATACACAAGTCTAAGTTCTAAAGATCTTTCCAGAAACAGCATTCTAGTAAGCTGTAATGCCACTTTCTGCAGGTTTAGCCAGACTTTTTTCTTTCATAGGTTGGCTTTGATTTTGCTTTACTCATTACATCTTTTTTTCAAAAGATACACCATTCTTTCTTGATTTTGTTATCACTCCAGCTGGTCCAATACACATTGCCAGAATCAGTCTTCTGTCTTAAATACTTTAGGCTAAAGCCATTTTAAATCCATCAGTTTTAGTTCAATGGAATTTCAAGTCACTCTCTCAGGGTTAAAGTGAAAGTGAAACTTGTGAACAATCTCTCCTTGATATGTACCACAGTCCCAAAGAAGTTACTCATTAATACAAATATGACCTGCTTACCTTTTATATGAGTTCAAATGGAAGAAAGAATACAGTAATCCTACACCCTAATGCTGACTAAACTGCACTAGGCATCAAGGACTCTTAAGCTTTATTTCCAGAAACAAGGGGTGCTGTGTCAGAGAGCTGTTTAATTATGGTGCACCGAAGACCTACAGTAGCAGCAGATTTCAAGGCAGAAGGGTAAAGACATGGAAGTATAATGCTAACATGGCATTATAATATACTAGGAACACAGCTTTTCTTATAAATTACTAATAGAAGGCCCACTGCTTTCATAACCTGAAACAATGTATTGCAAATACAGCTTTATGCTATCTTGTTAAATTACATGAAATTAACATTCCTTTTTAACTCTGAGGAGTCACAATGTTTTGCCTTTAAACCACTGAATCACTGAACTATAGGAATACTGTGGAAGAGGCTGGTCAGAAGATGCAATGTGAAGATTGCCAGCATAAAAAAAAAAAGCTTCACCTATATATTTTTTTGTAAATTTACTACAGACATCAGTGCAACTACTGGTTAAATGCTGTACATCATTTTCTTCCAGAGACAGGATGTAAATAGGAAAAGTGTTCAAGATTTAAGACAAAAAAAACCCCTCATGTTCCACCTCAGAACTGCCAACCTGCCATCAATGGCCAACAACAGACTCTGAGCTCCAAGGTGGGGGGGAAGCAGGACCTCACTGTTCAATTAGTAACAAAACAGAATCTACAGTGCTAGAGACAGAGAAGTTTCTACTAAGATTATCCACACAACATTCTCACCTTGATATTAAACCTATGGCAAACCCTTGCCTTCATTTTTACAGTCCACTACTCATTATTTAA